TCACACTCAGGCCGGGGCTTTCACCTGCCACTTTTCTGCCATGAGTAGAAACAGCCTGAGGCCCGTGCCAGATGCAGCTGTCCCAGAATTGTAAGCCAAATAAACCTCTCTTCTTTATAAATTACCCAGTTTCAGGTATTCTGTTATAGCAACACAAAATGGACTAAAACATCTCCTTAGCAAATGGTCACTGGGCTGCACCCTTGAATTTTTCTCCCGAAAGTGATCTGTCATTGTCTACCACATGACCAGGCTGCAAATTTTCCAAATTCTTATGCTCTGCTTCCCTTTTAATTATATATTCCAGCTTTACATCATGCCTTTTCTGCCATAACTCAGCATAGGCTGTTGCAAGCAACTATGTGGCTTCCTGAATACTTGGCTGCTTAGAAATTTCTTCTGCCAAATACCCTGGTTCAGCATCCTTAAGTTCCACATCCCAGAGAACTTTGGGGCATGAACAGAATGCAACCAAGTTCCTTGCCAGTTCATAGCAAGGGTGATCTTTGCCCCAGTTTCCAATAAGTCCCTTCTCATTTTACATCTGAGATCTTCTCAAATAACCTTTACATTCCAAATTTCTATCAGCATTCTGCTCACCACCATTTAACTGGTCTCTAAGAAGTTCCAAACTTTCCCTCCTCTTTTTGTCTTCTTCTGAGTCCTCCAGACTCCTCCAACCTTTGCTCCACACCCAGTTCCAAAGCCGCTTTCACATTTTCAAGTATGTGTTATAAGTAACACCCCACTTCTCTGGTACCAGTTTTCTGTATTAGTATGCTTTTGTGTTGCTATAATAGAATACCTGAGACTGGGTGCTGTGGATTTATGTTCCCCCCAAACTTGGCCCCCACTGTGACAGTATAATGAGATTGGGAAATCCTATTATGGTAATTGAAAGGTGGGGCCTTGAAGAGGTGATTAGATTATAGGACCATGCTGTAGTGAACGGGTTAATAATGATGGTTAGGGGCATGGTTCTGAGGGCTTTCAAAAGGAGAGCACATGAAAGTCTCTCTCTCTTTGCTCTGCCATTTTCTGCCTGGTGAGACCCTTGCACTGCTATAAAGTCACCACCAAAGAAGCCCTCACTAGATGTGTTCCCTGGACTTTGGATTTCCCAGCCTCCAAAACTGTAAGCAATAAATTTCATTTTCTTTATAAATTATCCAATTCCAGGTATTTTGTTATGAACAACAGAAATGGACTAATGCATTGGGTAATTTGTAAAGAAAAAAGTTTATTTGGCTCACAATTCTGGGACAGCCATGTCTGGTGTGTGCCTCAGGCTACTTCTACTTATGGCAGAACTGGCGTATTAGCAGCAGGTGCAAGGAGATCACATGATGAGAGGAGGCAAGAGAGAGAGCTAACTCCTCAGTCCTCCTTTTAAAGCCCTCAGAACCACGCCCACGACCACCAATAAGCCATCAATGAATTAATCCATTTACTTAGGTATGGTCCTCAAATCTAATCACCTCCTCAAGGCCCCACCTTTCAATTATTATAATAGGATTTCCCACCCTCAACAATTACAGTGGGTTTTAAGTTCTGGGGGGACATTCAATCCACAGTTCTCCTCAAGAGAAAGGCATAAATAAAAGGATGAAATTATTGAATTCCTCCCTCTCAGGCTCTGCCTTTCCCCTGTCTGCTGCCTCTCTCGTGTCATACTGAGTTATATGTGGCTTTGCCATTACAGCACCCTGTTTTACTCCCTTGGACTTTTGCTGGTGCTCTTTCACCTGCCTGAACCACTTCCTCATCATTCCTTCACATGGCTCATTTTAATCTTTCAGTACTCAGCATAGGCCTCCTCTCCTCCAAGAAGGCATCTCTAAAGCCCCAGGCAGGGCTAAAAGCCTTTCGTCTCTGTTCCTGGGGTACTGTCTGCCTCTTTCCACCAGCACTTATCTATTATATTAAAGTGTCTGTTTATGAGTCTTCTTAATATAACTTCCTTGAGGCCAGGGACTATGTCCTATTCAGGTTTCTGCTCCTAACACATAATACATTGCCTAAGAAATAGGATATAACATGTTTCCTGAACTGGACTGAAGATTGCCTATGAAGCATGTATGTGTCCCCCCAAAAGGCAGTAATGTCTTAGGCAAGCCTTTTAGAAACAGTGTTTCATAAGAACAATTAGAAAGAAGGATTTGGATTTTGGTATGCTATTGAGTTCCCAGGGGCAATAAAGTTTATGGAAGGAAGTGTGGGTGATGAAGATACCTCTTGCTGTCAATTTTTTCTTGGATAGAACTCTATAGCGATTAATGTGTTCATCAATTAAGAATTGTAATAAGCCCTTTGCCCCCCAATTTTTTTGGCAGCATTTAATGCAGTATACAGGGGAAAACACCACAGGAACAAATCTAGATTTTGATCAAGCAAACTATTCCACCACTTTAGTTTATAGATAAGGATAGTGTGAGATAGCAGTTCAAAGGACTTGCCCAAGGTTATGTTGTAAGGTACAAGGGCATTTCTATTATACACCAAACATTCTGACTAGAAGGTGTCTTATCTCACCAGGAGGTAGGGTGGGGAGAGACTGCAACGTACTGACGCCCTTTTCTTAGTGAAAGAGCTTTAATCCATCTTCTGAGCCAATGAAAGCTTTTGAGTCTTATAATATCTCGGTTCCCCATCCTCATTACTATCATCTTTTTTCTCCTAACCTGCTTTCTAAGGAAAGGTGAGGATAAAGAACACAGGGAACTAAAGAACCACTGTAGGTTTTGGTTTGTTTGTTTTGCCCTATCCCAGCCCCTCTGTATAATAAAACTAATTCTATATAATAAAACATCCATACAGATGGCACATTAATCATAGTGTTTGGTCAGTTTATTTCCAGTAAATTCTCTAAAATAAATAATTCCATTATAAATAAATTTTCCCTGCCTCTCCATAAAAGTCTTTGTCAGAAATTAGTCGGAGAGCTCTAGTTACCAAGCAGTAAATAGCTTTTAGTCATTATATGAATGATCCTTAGTCATTACACCTCAGTCCCTTTAACCCTAAATAACATAACTGGATACTAGGGTTAGGAAGCTGTTGTAGGGTCTAGAGTGATAAAGCTAGAGTCAAGCCAATGGTCAGGGACAGAAGTGGATATATTCAATTTGAGAATCATGGCACTCATAGGTTAAACTGATCTACTAGATCAGGAATGAGTAAACATGGATCCAATGGCCAGATGTGTTTTATCTCAGGGTGGCTACATCTAGAGGCATGCTGGTAGGGAAAAGGAAGAAGCCAGAACTAGGAGAGCTAATCTGCTATGGGGGTGGCCCATAAAAGCAGTACCTGAAGGATTATGGGACTCTTAGGCTCTATGTGTACTAGCTTAGTTAAGAAAGCCCAGGCAGAAACTCTGGTAGGTGGGTCATATGAACAGGAGTGTCTAAGAGTGATGACATTCATAGTCAGATGAGTGGTTCATCTAGTTTAGAATAGGACCCAGGAAGTAGCTTGGAGTATGAGACACAAGGTGCCAAGACCCCAGACATATGGGCTGATTTAGGGAAGGTCTTTATTCCAAGGAGTGGAAATGAGGTGTGTTTCAGGAAAAATAGGTAAAAGCCTGTGCATACACTATAGGAATTTGAGAAGGCTCAGAGGCTTAAATCTACCTCCCTATTTCCAAATCCCCCAACCCCTATCCCTAACCCCCAACAAGGATGCTCTCATTGTGTGTTGGTATAGATTCAAAGCAAGTTCAGGTTCCACTGAAAGTTGCAGTTTCTGCCTTGTCTCCAGAGAAATTCGAATACTTAGCATGTAGTATCTCAGCCTAAGGTCCTTCTGTCCATGGTAACCTGTGTGTTCATTGAATAGTGTTTTTGCAATTGAAGCAAACTATGTCATTGTCCATCTGCTGAATCCACTAGTCATTTTCTAGCTATGATAATCAGACCAACTACAGTCCCAGCAAATGGTTGAGGAGTCATTGTTCCAAGTAGTAAACCCTGGATGAATGTAGTAGAGCCATTCATTGTTGACATAATACTCTGTTATAGGTGGTGCTAGGGACTATATAGACTAATTTGTTAAAGTGACTGAATACAATATATATAAATAGATTTGGGGAAGATATCTAGAGGTGAAAAAGTATGGTACAAGTTGAGTTTTCTGAAAGTATAGCAAAAAGGAGTCAGGGAAAATGAACCCTGCTTATGTTTACCTAGCATTGATGAGGAAGAGGAATACTTAGTCTCTGACCTAAAGTTTTTAGGTAAATCAATCTTAGCATCCTAAAGTGATGCTTCCGGCTCTTTTTAGAACCAAAATGAAACAGATAAGCTCAACTTATAGCTTTATGCTAACTCATCAAATAACATTTGCGTCTAAAGTTTGGTTTCCTAAGTTAGCTTCTTCACTGGAAGGGAGGGTCTTGTGTGGAAAAGGGATCTGAGTTATCAGAAAAGTATAGCTGTCATCCTCTTCTGTAAGACAGAATCAAGAAATAAAAATATTGGAAATATGGAGGTAAAGAGGAGAAAAAGTATCATGAATTAAGTCCTGACCACCCCTCCCTCAACACACACACACACACACACACACACTCTCTCTCTCTCTCTCTCTTTCAGTGAACTGAGGAAACCATTTCCAGATCTACCAGGATGAGGCCTATACTCTGGAACAAAGAGGTCACAGACAAACCTATGGGCCTCATCATCCTAGGATGATCACAAGGTCATCTGCATTGTAACTGAGGAGTCAATAAGGGGACATCAGCAATAGTGTCTATCTAGCCCTGGGAGTTGCTCTGTAGTATCATCAGTCACTTCTGTGATCAGTAAATATAATATAAAATCGATAAAGAGGAGGGGAATAAGTGATATGTTATTTTTTTCTGACTACATTTGTATATATAGAAATTATTTTTGAATAGATGTTTTCCAGAGTTGTTTTTTAAAAAAGAAACTTAGTTACCTTTAATGTAATTTTAACACAAATGGCATCTACTTTACTTCTTGCTTCCTGTATGTCTCTAGGAATTGCCTCCATATAATGGTTATGGATTCGTTGAAGATTCAGCTCAGAATTGCTTTGCTCTCATTCCAAAAGCTCCAAAAAAAGATGTTATTAAAATGCTGGTGAATGATAACAAGGTGCTTCGTTATTTGGCTGCACTGGTGAGGCTAATTTTTATATACTAAGGTTTTCTTCTATCTCAGTACTGTGTACAATTGTCCATTTTGTCTGTAAGTGTAACAGCTGTCAGAGTTATGTGTTTATTTAAACAACCATTGGATCTGGTACCCAGCCTTCAGGCACGTTGGATAATAGTAAGTATGGTGCTCCTGAACCAAGACCTAGCTCAAGTCTTATCTCCCCCAAGAATTTTTCTTAGATCATTAATCTCTCCCTTTTACTCCTCAAATTTTGACAGACCATTTTGCCTTTTTTATTAAGCAATTATGAAATTCTGAGTTATATTCAAATTATGTATCTGTGTGCCTTTCCAGTGTACTGTGATTTCCTTGGTGTAGGGATCATGTCCTACTAAATTTTAGTATTACCTGTAATATCTTGTAGAGGGTTAGAAATCTTGATTCTCATTTGATTTTTAGAATAGTATTTTTAGGGCCGAGCCCGGGGCGCACTCGGGAGAGTGCGGCACTGGGAGCGCAGCAGCGCTCCCGCTGCAGGTTCGGATCCTATATAGGGATGACCAGTGTACTCACAGCGCTCACTGGCTGAGCGCGGTGTGGCCAGTCTCAAAAAAAAAAAAAGAATAGTGTTTTTAGGTAATGCATGTATGGGGCAAAAGCCCTTGATTAAGGGACAAAAGTCCACAGATAGTGTGGCAAAAACCCACCTCATCAATTCTAATAACTGTTTAGGGATGGGATTATGTACTTTGACTATTTAACATACTGATTGTTGTTAAAAATAAGTATGTTGAAGGAATTGCTGTAGGAGAAAATGTGAAAAAAATGTTTGCTAAGGGTAAGCTGTTTGTTGGTGGACACTTTAAAGACAATTATCATAAGAATGTAACTTTTGCTTAAATCGTTCAGGGAGAGGGTATATTCTGGGTTAGATAATGATCGCATTCTTATCAATTTAGCTTTTCACAAATTGTACTTTGGAATCTCATCTTGTTAATTTAAATGATGTTACTAGTTTCCATTGTTTAAGCTATACTTAGCTATAGATAACTTTTGTCACATTGCCCATGTGTCTTTGTGTCCTTTTGAAATGATTGAATCAACTGATTTTTCTTGTGAAACTTCCTTGTCTTTACAATATAAAACAGAAGCTAACTTTGAATCAGGGCTGTACCCAGTTTTCCCCCAACAGAGGAGTTGCTGAGGTACAGTCCCTTCAGGCTTCTCATTGCATTCATGTTGCTTTGAGTAATCTTTTTTTCATCTCTGTTACACAGAGAGAAGTGTAACAATATCTAGTTTGATACATTTTATATTCTTTAAATATAATAAATGTGATTATCCCTATTTAATACATATTGCCTTTGAGAGTTTCTGAGGGTACTTCAAAAAGTTTGTGAAAATATTCATATTATTTGTTAATTCTATTTTTGTATGAACTTTTTTTAAAAAAAAGATGACTGCTAAGGGGATCTTAACCCTTGACTTGGTGTTATCAGCACCATGCTCTCCAAGTGAGCTAACCGGCCATCCCTATATAGGGATCTGAACCTGTGGCCTTGGTCCCAAGTGAGCCACAGGCCAGCCCTTTTGCACGAACTTTTTGAAGTACCTTTGTATGACTAGTCATTAAGAGCATGGAGTTTGGAAACAGACACAAATTCAAATCCTACATATTCTACTAATTGACTTAATTACCTAAGGCAAATTACTGATAAGAATTCAAAGAATATCTTAAAATGTGAAAAAATGGAAAAATGGGAATATAAGCATTTTATTTATAAATATGGACATAAATAAAAGTTGAAATAAGTCATTTCTGGGGATAGAAATTGGAAATGGGGAGGGATGGGTCAGGTGACTTTTCAAATTGTTTACCTGTATTTGAAAGGATAAAAATTAAGTGAAAACACAATTGACTAATATATTTTAGAAAAATGTTGAACAAAGCTTTAAATAAAAAGGGAGCTCCAGCAAACTCTAGGCCAACTAAAACATTCCATATAAGAATTCTGATTAATGAAGGCTTTTTATAGGACTAAGTTATTTCAGTTACTGTTAAAATCAAGAGGCTTGCTGAATTATGATATGGTAACTATAAACTCCTTAAGGGTGGGAATTATGTTTTTCTAGACTTTGTAGATATTCAACAATAGTTTGCTGAATGCGTGAATGAACTTATTTACACATGCACTATTCATGAGTTAGAAAATATAATATTTTACTCATTTTATGTTTCAAAACTTAAGGATCAGAGAGGATAATTGGCTTGTTGCAGGTTCCAGTACTACTTAGGCAGAGGCAGGACTCAGCTTTCTGATTTTCAACCCAGTGTGATCAAGAACCAGTATAACGCTTAGAATTAAGAAAAGAGAAAAGGACTCATATGAGTTTGTAACCTACATAATTGTAAGCTTACATTTCATACCTGAAAATCCTGGAAAAATTATTACATAATGGATTACAAAAATGGCTATGAATAATGTTAGATATTGCTAAATGAGGAGAAAGGATAAGTTTATATTGACTGCAGTCTTCTTTTTTTTTTTTTTTTTTGTCTTTTTGTCTTTTTTTCCGTGTCCGGCAACGGATCGCAACCCTCAGTGTTGCCCCCGTACCGGACGGGGGACCGGCAACGGGATCGCAAGCCTTGGTGTTGCACCCGCGCCTCGCTCAGCCAGTGAGCGGGAACCGGTCTGTATGTGGGATCCGAACCCTCGGGCGGGAGCGCCGCCGCGCTTCCCAAGTG